ATACACAATTTTTAACACAATATATACGATTGATATATTATATTATATAGGTTAATGTTAATAAACCTGTTTTCTATCCTGATTGATGTGAAACAACAACAGGCTAATGGATTATATAAACTTATTTGACAAAAAACGCATGAAAAATCAATTTATTTAATAATTTTTATATTATTTTGAGAATATCTTTTAAACCAATGCATACACGGAAGAAATGAATACGACCATTCTTGTAGAGAATTTCATCATCTTTCTTTTTATAATTTACATTTTTCCGTACGATGCACGGTTTTCAGTGTAGAAGTAAAAAACTAAAAAATGGGGTCTTTCCCCCCCTCCCACCGCTGAAGCAGCAAGGCCAGGGGCGGGGACTTTTGGTATTTTTATCTTCTAACTACCCCGAACACATTCCCACAGAAAAAAATTTCCCCCTCTCCATGTTCTCTACACCCCCCTTTTGAGCATTCATTGACTGGACTATTTAGTAAGTTTTGAATTTTTTACATCCGTATAGGGAAATATTGTTGACGAAATCTTCGATCATGTTTGAAGTGCTACTATCACAAATCGTTGGTATAAATGTTGTGTAACATTCCGAGTGTTTTATGACATGTTAAAAGTTTCATCACATTCACCCCCCTCCCCCCAAAAAATATATAAATAAAAACTAATCAAAATATCAAACAGTTTGATTGAAAACAATCATTCATAAAACATAAAACCTGCAACAGAGAAACAAGTAAATATCGCCAATCAGTAGTAAACGAAGAACCACGTGTACCACTGAGCTCCCTTCTCCGCGGACGTAATGTGAACATGATTAGGACGAGTTGTATGAAAATAAATTGTCAATACGGACTTACCATGTCTAGTTATTCTATTTACTGAAAGAAAACTACACTTTCCACACATAGTATACAGTAATATAGAAAAAAATAGGCTACAAGGCTATAGTACATAAAATGTATTACACCTGAGTTATTGTAAAATAAGTATCCACGCAGTGCTTCAACTAACGTCATATAACAAGCACGTGCATTATATCAAAGTACATATCAACCCGATATTTTTAACACAGCAGCATAACCCGAAGACTCCGCCCTCTCTTCAATGAAGACATAACACTACACGACAGATATCATCCATAGACGACACCTATCATATTTGTTTAACAACAGGCGACCGTTCCACACATTCCGTCTATTTCTGAACACCCGGTTCGCCCATTCAGAGGTCTCTGGATCGATGGAGCCAGTTTAGAGGTCTGTGGCGCGGCGTGGCGATAAAAGTGTCAACGGCAATCAAAGTGACTCGCGCGGCGTTTTGTTGGACAGCTTGTTATAATGAGTTGCATATGCTTCCTGTGCATCGCTGGGGTCAGTGCATCATTAGTGTCAGAGTGCATCTAATATAAATAGTGAACAACTAATAAACAGTATAAATATTTCTGGAGGATAACATCGACTAACCAAAGGGAGTATGTTTTATCTATAACTGTTACGGAAATTCAAATAATGCCTATGAATATCCTATTTGACATATAACACAGTTATAACTATGTCACTGGAAAAATGTCAGAGTTTTTCTTATCCATAAATAAACACAACACTAGGTATGAGGCCTCAGGTCCGTTAATTGAGCAGAGCGAAAAAATACGTAAACAAATAATATTCTTTCTATATGAAATTTTAATAAAAAATATAATTTATGAAATAACAAATAAATACAACTTTTAATGATAGTTGCGGTACTTTATTATGAGAATTTAATTCATTTTAAACCTAATAATAAGAAATCTAATTTTATAAGACATTTTTGCGTCTTTCAATCTCATTTTAGCGAATTTCCCTATAGGGAAGTAGCTATTACCGTAGGTGGCACGGTAAGACCTAGACCCGGGACCGATTTACTTTTTCATTTTGATGTCCCCAGAGGCCAAAAACACTATTCGTTCAAATTTTTATATATGTATATATATATATATATATAGACTTATATATATATATATATATACGTCCGTGAACGCGATAACTTGTCCGATTTTGATGAAATTTGGTTTAAAGGTGTAAAGCGGGATAAACTTGAATGAGTTCGCGAACCAGCACGATCGGACCATGGGAACGGGGCATTACGGGGGGTTTTATGGGGTAAAAATTGGTTTTTCTCACTTTTGACCCTCAAAACACAAAATTGCCCAATTTCTCTTTAGACCTTTTTAAAGAGCTTAAAAAAACAAATAATTTAGTATATAAAAGTATTTTTGTTCGATTATTAGTAATGGAGAACATTAAAAAAATTGTAAATTTAAAATTCCCATGTTATTCTTATGGAGAATATTGTCAAATGTTGTAGTTTGCTTGTTTATGAATATATTTTGATCAAACTTGGCAAATTTATTTATTTTGTACTAAGCTATCAATATTTTACTCAAAAACACACTTTATTAGTTTCCTTGTAGCAGCAAACCTAGGTACTCGCTAAACCTAATGTTATTAAAATATATTTAACTGAAAATCAATTCAGACAAATGGAAATTCGCTTAGTCGGCAGGTTTGCTGCAGCGGGGGTATTTCTTTACTGTCCTTGTACTATTCTTGATTATAATTGTAAGTAAATATTACTATCTAAAATGGCTCAACCATCAGGCAACAGTCAGTCTAGTCTCGATTCTCGTCTTATTGTTTTGATTCTCTATCGGCAAAGATGCATGTGCAGACGTCAAGCCGAGAGGATATACTGATATCTCAGGTTCACCACAGTCTGATCTTAAATGCATATAATGTACTTGACTACTGATCAAAAATCCATATAATAATATTTCTCGCCATACCACTTCTTTATTCTCCTATTTCCCACTCTATTTTGTCGTTTAACGTTCTCCGCCATATTACCTATGAAAAATTCCTAAAACCGCTAGTTTATAATAGCCAATTTATAATATACAAAATACAAATTAAATGTATTAACTGAAAATAATTATAGTAAACTAATTAAATTCATAATGTTCTAATTAGTTACAAACAGCTGGTTTAAAATAATTGTTTTAAGAGGGTCCTATCCGGTCAATTAAAGATGGCAGCTACACATGCTAATGTTTCTAAACATGCCTCTACGACTATGGTACAAGCTCTCAACACCCTAAAACTAATTCGTTTCCAATGATTGTGTGCTTTTTGTGCTCTTAACATATCACAGCTTGCAATGGGTGGAGATAAATAAATTTTTAACTATTATTTAGAAGCTAAAATCGCATGTAAAATAGACTAATTACAGATTTTCAAAATGGTTTTCTAAGTACTTAAAGAAACAATTACGAAGTTTCAGCTCATCCAGGGCATTTAAGGGATCTTTGTGAATATTTTACAGTTCATTTCAATTTAACGAGGTTCTTTTTAGTAGAACAATGTTTACGTGGTCCGGCGGGTCCCTCTTAATTTCCATGAGGCCTACATCAGATGAATATTATATTTCGCTGACAAAAAAACCAATTTAGTCGACATTGACGCACTCAACCGTCTCCACATGAAACAAGCATCAGAAGCACCTTCCAATTTAAGTCAATAATAAATCGACGTGTTTATAGCCTATTAAATAAATATTTATCGTATTTTTTTATAAACCCTTTCTTAACTGGACTAGTTTGTTTTTTAGTTATAAATTATACGAGCTTGTATACCCGTGCTTCGCAACGGGAAGAAAATGTGTAAAAGAATAATGTTGTTCTTTGTAACTGCTGTAGTTACTCATTATTTTTTTCATTTTGGATAAAATCTCAATTTTACCCCCTAGAGAAGTAAAAGCCTATCGAAAGTCTTCTCCCAAATGTTTTTCCGTTTGTACTGTATTTAGGTCTTATACTGTCTTATTCATAAACATATGCTATAGTTCTTTGTTTACATTTACGTTGTTAATTAGTAACCTATTTGAGTGATTCACTGTAAGATCTATTGAACTAAAATTACGTAAAAAGAACCAAACAAAGCTCGTTTCCATTAATTGAAACTGTAGTTTGGATTCAATTCACAAGAAGCTATAGACCTCCTCATAATCCCGTAAATATCTCGACGGTGAAGAAACAACGACGTCGAGGGATGAGGTGCGAACCTGAGATGTCGGAGTAGGAACAAAAACACCGAGACACTTCCTGCATTGACAACCAAAACAGATCGTGTGTATCAAAGGGAATGGATCCAAGACGGTAACTTGTTGTCAACGTTTTAATCGTAAACGTTTCATTGTAATTTTTTAGAATACTACACTCGTTCGAATGAATATAAGGCCTATCGATCAATATATCGATTACTTCATTCGATATATCAAGTTTGGTTAGTTAGACTTAAAACTTAACCTAACCAACCAAATCAAATAATCGATTTATCGAATAATCCTTATATAGATAAACTATAGTTAACTAAAGTGCAGCCTTAACAAATCACGAATTTAGTTTTACATATTCATGCGTTAAGTATGTATTATTATTCAATAAAACTTTAGTCGTGTTGCTAATGATGTTAAGAATAATCACATTGACTAACATAAAATGTATTAGCGTTCTTAAAAATAAATGTCAATGCTACTCTAGTAAAGACATAAATGCTAGATTTACTTTTTACCTCAGCTTCATAGCACGCGAAATGCATAAACTATGTTTCAATTACTCCACTCGTAATAATAGAAACAGAACTTGATCAGCTATCAAAAAATTATAGGGTTGACATTGACATGTAAGTATTGAAAATTATCATAGGAATGTATCCAAATAATGTTCAAAGTGTGTTCAAATAAAAAAAAATATAATTCCCACATCTGCCACAGAGAAGGTACCTAACATTCATCCAGACAACAGGTTACTATTTTTGCACCTTGACACCTAAACATATTAGAGTGCACGGAAGCCATACTTTGTCTGTCTCGTGCTGTCTATGACATGTTCGACCTATCTTCTGATTGAGCACATCCCCCATCTATATACCAATGTCAATCTATATACTATGTTGTAGGACATGGATGTTGGAGTTCCTGGAGTGTGACGGGCTAGGAGTCCTGTTGGAGAGTCTGGAGAGACTAGGAGCTCAGGGATTCTCCAGTGTAGCGGACACTGTGTCTCAGCTGCAATGTGTCAGCTGTCTTCGGGCAGTCATGAACTCCCAGGTTGGGCTGGAGTACATCGTCCAACATCGAGAATACACAAGGCAACTCGCCAACAGTAAGTGGAAAAGTGGCTTTGAATTAATTTTAAGTTTGACATCTAAACATTGTCCTAATCATATTTTTTTCTATTTATATCATCCAGTGTAAAAATGATTAGGCTATACTAAGTTTTTTTAAATTTTCCATTATTGTAGCTTGATAAAACATCAATTCAGTGTAAAATGTTCATTTGCTTCGTGTAAAATGGTCGATGATTCCAGAGTAGCCTTACTGTTCTGTTCTATACTAGTGTGAAATGGTCTGATTAAGCAGCTCAGTCAATGTTGAGTTGAGCAACCCATTACAAGAGACATAATGCAAGTTGACATTGCAGTCTGTTTTATGACCATGTCTTAACCCAGGGTCAGTAACTCCCACTCGTTATGATTTGCAAGAATCTGTCTGCTGTAACTCATTGTCTGTCACATGTTGCATTACCGTAATTCTGTCTTTGTCTTGAGATGGACAATTTTATTTTTTATGTATCCTCACAAATAACTTAACAAATTGAGAAATTGACAAGCATGATCTATTTAAAATCTTTTAAGTTATGGCCCTTGATCTTTTTAAAGAATTATGATCTTTACATCTTGTTCGACCCTTAAAAACCTACATTCTCAAAAGCTGGTGGTAGTTTCCAAAACCACACTCACCCTTGAAGCATTTTTGGTCCATTTATTAGTTTGTACATTTACTTTCTACTCAAATTAAACATGTGACTTCAACCAACAGGTTTGTAGATGAGTAGCATATCCACTCTTAAGAGTGTCAATGAACTGTAAAATGTTTTTGAGTTAAGGAGGGATCACATTAATAAACCTTGATAATGTTCCTTAAGGTCCCACAAAATTATTTATTCCTGATCAATTTAAAAGCTCAAAGTTGGACTTTATAATATAAGTAATATAGTTTACCCAAATGATGTTCAATGACCACAACATTATTGTTGTTGCAGTTCTGGTGTCCCGCAACAACAGTGTGAAGTTGCAAGTGTTTGAGCTGTTGTGTGCTCTCTGTATGTACTCCTCCGAGGGACACAGTCTGGCCCTTGACTCTCTCAACTACTTCAAGGTAAGAATATTTCCCCGTCTTATTTTGTGAATTAGTAGTTATCATTTTCAAAGCAAAATAAGATCTGTATCGGACAAAGCATCAAACGAGGTCAAATCGAATGTAGTTTTGATTTTGAAGTTTGATTTTCATGCTATTGCCACTAGTGATAGCACAGAGAAGTAAGTTACAGCAGAACTTGCTTATGATACAACTGGGGTCTTTCTGCTCTATAGTACACACTAGGGGAAATTTACTTGTGACAAGCAAGGAAGAGCCCAACCTGAGAGGACTGTACAAAAGTTCCTATCTGCTAGACACCACTTAAATGTACCATTGAATGTTTCCTCTGTACCTTACTTCTCTGTGGTGCCAGTCAGAATCTTACTGACATGTCACTGTTTGCTAATACTAGACTAAACTAGGACTGGTTTTGGTAGTTAGAGCAAGGACCTCTGTTCTGAAGGCCCTGGGTAAAAAGTATCAATCAGTAATGATAACGTTCTATGTGACAACACTCTGTGACCCAATGGTATAGAGCTAAGCTATAGTTTCCTTTAACTTATAGGTAACTAAGAAATCCATAAATTAGTTGACAGAACATGACTCCGGTCCATTTTAATCATTATATAATACTGTAAAGTTCCAATATAGTTTACTGTCACATTGAGCGTATGTTTTACAATCCAAACCCACAAACAAGTCAGGGTAAAAAAGTTGAATCTTTAACTTCTTCTGAATCTTTTGAACACGATAGCTTAGTGGTAGGTTAATTCATAAGCCAAACTTTGCTGGTTTGAGACGGTCATAATGAACTATCTTAACACTCAGTCACCACTGGCTTGCTGATGTGACTCACTTTAACTGTGAATTTATCAATTATTAATTATTGCAATGCAAACACCACGTAGGTGTATTTTAACCCAAGTATGAGTGAAGGATGAATGTAGTATTGAATGAGATGATCTGCCTTAAAATCACCTCACAGATCAGTACCTAGTCTATGGTGACAGGCAGTTAAGGATTTTTTTTTAAACTTAATAAATAAAAATAATCTAAATGACATCAAATAAGGTTGAACAAAAGATAAATTGTAACAGATAGCGGTATTTGTGACTCCACCAAGGTAACCTATTTTCTGGTGTGCCTCTTGTTAGCAGATGAGCCACGGGCGGAGGTACAGGTTTGACCTGGTGATACAGGAGCTACAAACAGCTGATACTGTGGTGTACCAGACAACGCTACTGGCCTTCGTCAACTGTGTGATCCTGGGAGCATCCGACATTCTGCAGAGGAACCACCTCCGCACAGAGCTGTTTGGTAGGTCACACCTATGACCGTTAATAGAACTAGACATTCTATTTCCATGTTAAGTCCAGGCTGTCTTAGAGTGGACATGGACGTTGAATTAAGCAATGAGCCACGAACATTGCTCTAAGCTACATAACTATAAAAATGCTGGTAAAAGAAAAAATTAAGCATGAATCGTAAATTTTACCCCTAAAAAAACTTTTGACACTATAGTGCACTCTTAATAAGGCATCCAAAAGTTGCCACCAAATAAAAAAATTCAAAAACCCCGTTTTCAATGTATATGCATCATGACACACACAAACAGGATGTAAAATTTGCAATAGGGTGAAAATCGTTTGCATTATTCAGAGTCAACTAGGTGAGTGCATCGAGACAACCCCTTATTGGGTTTTTGCCACTTAACTTTACTTTCTAACAGTACTCCCCAGGATTTCTTGCTGGAGAAAAGAAAATTAAGCTTCTGCTCTTGACTTTACTTTCTTATGGATTTAGCAGACTGCACAACCTTTGACTAAAATTAAAGAGGTAGACACTCCATTCTCATGGTAAAGCTGTGAAGCCAGTTTGTAAGTGGTAAAGGACTAAGCTGATTTGGGCCACCACTTGGGTGTACTGACAGCAATTACTGATATCTCGTGACTACGCAAAATTATTAACTAAGCTAAATTGAAATTTGAAGGATACTTACAAATTGAAAACTAAAGCATACTATAGCTTGTACCGTGGCTTCGCCTGCGAAGTTATGACCATCATGTAGCATAAGAAATAAACAGAATATTACAATCTAATCAAAACAGGTGATACAACTCGATATTTGAAAGTTTCCTAATTTGTGTATACTTTATCTTTTTATTGAGGTCTATGTCTTTAGTTCTATTAATGTTTGGTAAATAATTATCCGTAGTGGTTTCGCCAACGATAAGAAAAATAACATATTATCATTATTTATTAAATAACTTCTTGATCAGCATTGTACGTGTTATTAACTTTATGGAAAGTAAATAAAGAAACGTCTTATAACACTTAAAACACATATTTACGCTTATACTGTTACTCACAAGACGGTAAATATACAAAAAAAGGTGGTAAGTGGTGATCGATTTCAATTGGACACTGTCATTCGCCTATTGGGTCTGATGATGATTGGAGTGTCCAATCGAAATCGATCACTACTTACCACCTTTTTTTTGTATATTTACCGTCTTGTGAGTAACAGTATAAGCGTAAATATATGTTTTAAGTGTTATAAGACGTTTTTTTATTTACTTTCCATTATTTATTGCATCACACACAGTTAAAAAATGTCATGCCACAGTAAAAAAAAATCTCCAGCGATTAAATTACAATTAAAAACTAAATGAAAACCTTCTAACACAAAACAATATCTTTAATCTCCAATAACTAAGAAATCTTTCAGCAGAAAATCTTGAAACTTAAAATGCCCCGACTCTTCATTTTCTCCAAGGTATAGTTCTTTCATATTGGCTCTTCTAATGCAAGTAAAGAAACTTTTCCTCCAGAAAATAAATAGGTACTCATTCCAGCAGGCTCATCTCTCCGTTTTAATGCTCTGCATAGTATACACTCTCTGTCCATTGGATATAGGTATTTTTAATAATTTAAATTGTCTATAGTCTAGTGTTGCCTCGTATTCCATTGCATCATTTTCAAACACACCAAGTATTTCTGTTGCAAATTAAACACATAACTGTAAACAATCCTACTTTTACAGCTCTCATTGTGTATGACAGATTTTGTTGCTGTTTAGTTCAAATTAGCTGTTATCATAAAATAATGTGAGAAAATGAATAGTTCTGCATCTTCTTAGTTCTTGGTAAAACTTAACTTAACCGACTTAACTTAACTTTATGACTTTTTAATGCTATTGAATATCATAGAACCAACATGTTTAGTTGAAAGGGCTGACTAAGTTCTTTAATTCCTTTTAAATATGAATACTCTTAAGGTTTAATGGGAAATTCCAGAACCACTGGGGTGGGGCCTGAAAGGATTTTTGAGATAAGAATAGGCTTATATGATAATCGGGAGTCTGAGCTATCATCATGCCAAATTTCAGCCCAATCCGGCCAGTAGTTCATGCGTGATAGAACTTCAAACAAACACACAAACTTTTACACTTGTAATATTAGTATGAAGTATGATTTTATGTCTTGTCAAAATTTCTTCGTGCTAACCCTTCAAAGAAACTGATTTAGATACCAAATATTGGCATACAAATACCTTAGAGGAATATTTTGACATTGATAGAATTTAACATTGCAGGAGTTGGTCTGGAGAAGATTCTATCTTCTCTAAGGTCAACTGAAGACGAGGCTCTACAGATTCAGCTGAAGGTATTTGATGAACATCAGGCATCGGACGAAGAACAACTAGAACCATTGTCTGTGTGTCATCTGTTTGATTTGGTGTACAAAAAAGTAAGTTTTCCCATTTGGCTGTTGGTATTGTTGATTTTGAGATGTGTTTTAAGTGCTACAAGCTTGAAAAATATCATACGGAGGAATAATTCCTCATGAATATTATTGGGAAAGATATTAAAAAACTTTAAACACAAGACAACTCTATAAGAAACCCAAAGTATATTAGGGGATTCTTCATAATATTTTTTTTAATATTTAGGATTGATACAGTAACCTCCTTGTTGCCTGTTTTAGAGATTTATTTTAAAGAAACATCCTCAGCTTTCATCTTCGGGTGCTTACAAAACTTAAATTAATAAGACCTAAATGGCGTCTTATTCAAAGTAGAAAGTCACATAGATGTCAATGTTTTGAGAAAAATTACAGGTTAAAGTGGTGCTTTAACCAGTTTTTAAGTAGTCAAATAAGAGTGCTACTGTTGTATGAAACTTTGTAGCTCTCCTTCCATTATGACTTGATTGATCGTCACTTATTCACATATAAATTCACATCTTATCTAGTTTCTAAAGTCACTTATAATATAACGATAGAATACGTTAAGCATAGTGTTATAAAACTAATAGTGACTACAAGTTATAGCAGTTTCAAAGCACAAGTAAAACACTTTTATATAGTCTAGGATATGTTTTAAGTGGTGGATACTACAGTTAGATGTAAAAATGGTTGCATATTAAAATATTATGTTGTCTGCTTTTATCAGAAGTCAAATTTAAACTTTACTTTTATGTATTTGAAGATTTCAAGTTTCTTTATCTTATTAGGTGGTGGATACTCCTCAGATTCTCATGCTCCAGTCACTACTCTTAGCACTTTCTCAACTTGATCCATCTGATCCTGATTCGTAAGTTTTTCATAAACAACTTCTTCATTATGATTAAAATAAGACTATGTTCATATACAAGTATATGATTACTGAAGAATGACCTTGTGTAGTAAAAATTTAGGTGGGTTAGAAGAACTAATTTTCAGTTTTAATTTGGTCAAATGACTTTTAAATCAAATCAAATCAAACTTTATTGTCAAAAACCTTCATATAAAATAGTAACAATTAATTGATAGCATAGCTATGAAACATACCTATGTTATGTCAAATAATGATAATGTCAAATTCATGATTTGTCAATTTTACATTAAATAGTTAAAAAATAAAATACTGAATTTGGTTTGAAGTAGATTGATTCTCAATAAATATTCATTAATTAATATGAAATTTGACATATTTTTCAAATGCCATTGTATTGGCTTTATTTTTTAAACGAGTATCGTTTCAATGAGGCACAGACAATGGATTGGTAGTTGAAAATTATTTTTAAGCCTTGTGTTATTATGTATGGTCAAAATTATCGATTAAAAATGTTCGTAGTCAGATTGTAACATACATAACTAAGGTTATGAACATGTATAAATTAGGATCAGTTAAGACTTTTAATTCCCTTAGCAATTTACAAGATTTTTTAAATATGAAAAAGCCATTATTCTTAAAAATTATTTCTGTATTATTCACACTTTAATTGAAGCACATGATAATGCCCGAAACTCAATCCCATAGTTGTTTGATTTACCTTTAAAAACAAATTACAATTTTTTGTAATTATTTTGCTTTTCTAGGGATCGCTTGTGGGAGACTTTGCAAGAAGTTACGTCAGATCCCAAGAATGCTAAGACGTTTGTTAAGAGAACAGGCAAAACAAGAGAGTTTGGCACACAGACATCAAGAAATAGATGGCTTTACACTAAAAGAAGGGCTAGCTGCACTGTGGGAACTCAAGTAGATGACGTTAAGATTTCCCCAACCCTCAGTCTTCCGGTGATCAACAATGAACCGACTGATCATCCTGACCTTTCTAAACCTACCATGTCAATCTCTAACTCCACCAGTGATCTCTCGCTGTCTCCAAGTCCATCTGTAGACATTTGTCTAAACTGCCTGAGAAAGTTTGTGCGGGAAGAGCAACCATCTACTTCACATACTAGTGTACACAGGCCAGAAGAGCAACACCTAGAAAACATTCCTAATGTAGAATCTGCTCCTGCTACAAATCAAAGCCAAAGACTGTCTTTTACAAAAATAAGAAAGTCTACTCCACCTCAAACTCTTGGTAATCAAAGGAGCAACAGTATTACCATTGAAGAACCGATAATCAAAAGTTATGTGCCTATACAAACCTCTCCTACCTCTGAAAAAATTTTCAATTTAAGAAGTGAGACTACGTCAACTGTTGTCACCTCAGTTCCTAATTCAAATACCCTCAATCATCCTTCTCTTTCTGAAAACATTTTAGTCTCAACAATACCTTCCCCTCCTCCTCTCAGAAACACCAGCATCATACCCCCACCTCCACCCCTACCTGTGTCAACAGACCCAAACTACATATCAAATATCCCACTTCCTCATCCAATGCCATTTAGCTCAATACCACCACCCCCTCCTAATACATCACCTCCTTCCACAAACTGTTATTTACCACCACCTCCTCCTCCATTACCTCCATCCTCAAATCTTTCACCCCCACCACCTCCTCCATTACCTCCATCCTCAAATATTTCATCACCACCGCCACCTCCTCCTCCACTCCCTTTGCCATTAAATGGCGCAACACCTCCACTACCACCTCCAATGCCATTAGTCTCAAATGGACCTCCTCCACCTCCACCCCCACCTTCTATGACAAATGGATCTTTTCCTCCTCCACCACCGCCTCCGTTTTCTGAACCCTTCATAACACAGGAGAGGTATGCTGAAAGTTTTGCACATCCTACCTTCAGGTCTAACCCGAACTATCACACAATGCCTAACAGAAGACTCCCAGGAGAGTTTACCTCTGGCTTTCATAAGTACAACACTCTACCCAAGCCAAGCAAGAAAATGAAGACTCTTAATTGGACCAAAGTGCCAAACCTAGTTATTGGTGAGTGCTAGATGATACTGCATTTTCAAAACTTACCAAACCACTAGGAAATCTTAATGTTTCAAAAGTAATACTAAATCCTACATGTTTTAGCAAAGTAAATTATAAAATAAATTTTATATCAATCTTCTATATATATAATACGCTAAGCTAATTTTTGTGAACAGAACTCCTCCCTTATTTTTGGACCGATTTTGATGATTAAAGTGTCAAAAGAATTGCCCTGATCTGTAGTTTTGCAAAGTGTTTTTTGTTTTTTGATATCTTTATTAGTTTAGGCAGGATCTTCAATCAAAGTTGGATTTTCTCCCATAAGATTAACATGGGGGAATCTAAAAATTTAATTGGAAACTTTGTCTCCACTAATTTGAGAGAACGGCTGGGCGTAGAAAATTGGTAGGGGTATCAAAAGAAAGGTCTTGGTCTGTAGATGAGTTATCAAAAGAAAAACGAAGTAAATTCCCTTAGGGCTCTGCCCCAGAAGCCTTTAAAAATCCCTCTACAGATTTGTTTACATTTTGGCCATATGTATAGTACTTTTTAATGAAACAGCTGTTAGTTTGTAAATAATTGTATTTTAAACAAGACACTTTAATTGGGAGGTTACTGAATTGTCCAAAAGAAGCATTTTCAATGTTATTTTCTGATTTTAAAATTAATTTTCTTCTGTATCATGTCATGTTTTGCAATATATAACCATGATATAACGTTCCATGACGAAATCTGTGGAAAATCCTTTTATCACAGTAACTCTTAAAATTATTTCTTATTGACCTTATATCTATTTTACGGTTGGTGACTACCCTTTTCACCATTTTTGTCTTTATTTTTATCATATTGTTCTTGGCAGATCATCATAGGTTCATGAGATTATTGTCATACATGTTTTCAATCATTGGAAAAATATTCAATTGTGTAATACAATACAAAATAATAGCCTACAAGTGCAGAAGGGCACGGTGTCCATTTGAGCCGTGTCCATATTTTGTTTAATTAATAGTAGTTTACAGCAACTGGATAAAACATTTTACAATATTTATGTAGAAATATTTGCATGATAAAGAAAGGCATTAAGCTGGAAAACTGCAATATACTGCAGAATTTTCAGAGAGGTTACTTCGATGTATTCATTCAGCTTAGTGAAAACATAATACTATAGGCTAGATATGTTTACAAATAAGAACTTGAATTCTTAGAGAGCCTTTGAATGTTATTAGACTAACGAAAAGGGTTGTGCATGATTACTAGCGCTACTCAGTAACAAAAACCATTTAATTTATCTCTAAAATATATATTCTTAAAGTGCACTGATCACCAGCAAAAAAATCTGTGTAACTTACCCATATGTTATTGAAAATAACACATTTTGGCTGTAAATATGGCCCAATGAGTAAATAATATTTAAGCAGCTACTGTCATGACAGAAAGGTCATATTCCTTTTAAACTAGATCACATCATCCTTTATAAGATACGTTGATTAACAACGTATGTAAACGTCAATATTAACGTCAACAGCCAATTTACATTGTTTTTTCTTTTTGGAAATGCCTCATTGCTATGTCATTTGCATTATTTGTTGCCAATGAAGCCGCATATAAATGAGGAGGCCCCTAACCGTTTAGGAATAAAAACCAACTTCACTTCAAGTATATTCCACTACACCTAACATTTCGTAGAGAGATTATATTGACAATTTTATGTAATTTATATGGCTGAGACAACTAACTGACATCCCCCATGTTAAGTAATTCCAGCTTTAACAGTAACCCCACAACAAATTTCTAAAACCTGTGATAGAGGGTTATTCATTAGCACAGAAGTACGATATGAACTGACGCACGAAGGAAAAATCAAACTTACACTGTAATGGATATCTCCCTTTGAAGTTAGAACGTGTCTTCCCAACAAACAGATATTTTTTCAAATAAAATTATAGATTAATCTGCATTACACTGACGAAATCACGTAAGTGTTTAACTACAGTACAAAAGATCCACCAAGATTTTAATACTATTTAAAGGTTCTTCCAAACGATGAGATACCAGATAATATACTAATAACTTCGATGACGTACAGTATGGGATATATTTTATTCATTGAATGATCAACCATATTTGGTAACTAATGCAATTAATATCAATATCATTATTGTTTTTACACTTATTAATCTTTAATCAATGCTAAATGCTCAAATTATGTACAATTTCACTCAATTTATCGCAGTCAGATGAATTAGCGTAAGCTTTGAAAATAACCGTCGATTTCGACGGGTTTCACCTAGTATTCAATAATGTCTTAAATACTTTGAGTAATCTAAAGCCATTTAATTTATCTGTATTTTTTGTTGCCATATTAGATACAAAATAATTATCAGTGAATGAACAATAAATCTTTGTTATTCTCTATCACATAGACCTATAACTTAATCCCTTTCTAAATTTGGCAGGTACTGATCCTTAAGCTGGGTTTTCCTAGGCGCAAAAGCAGAGAGCGGAGAGAGGAACGTGGAGAGCGGAAAAGAGATTAACATGGTGTTCCGCTCCGCTTCTAGGAAAACAGTAACATTAAATTACCTAAGACAATTGGAGTCCGCTCTCCGCATTCCTCTCTCTGCTCTCCACTACCGCGCCTAGGAAAACCCGGCTTTATAGTTCCCTGATTCAGCTGTTAAATGATCATTTTGGCTACAGGAAATACAATTAGCTGTCATAAACTGCTATTCTGTTCCAGGAAAGTCTATATGGGCGAGTTTGACAATGCCTTTGGTGCCGATAGATTACAGTGTGATTGACGAGTTGTTCTGCCAGAAGACATTCTCAAAGTCTCTCAAATCTCAGTCAAGTTCCGGTTCCATCTCCCCTACTTTGACATGTTTCTTGGACAGCAAACGGAGTCTTGCAGTGAACATTTTCCTGAAACAGTTCAAGACTGGAGCTGGTGGAGTGTTGGAGGCTCTGAAGAGTTGCGAGGGAATCCCTGCAGAGAGGCTGAAGGGGCTGCTCAGGATTCTGCCTGATGAGCAAGAGGTAACACACTTTGATGTCAAGGGGTTACAAAAAAATGTCACTTATAATTTTTGTGAACACAACTCAACCAAAAAACTTAAGCCATATGCTGGGATCTGTGAGTCAAATTTAAAATTACTATACATGGACTTGGTGCTAACCAGTATATAGGCAGTATGGTAGACCGATTAATCAATTGATGAACAAGTGATTTTAGGCGTTGTCTCATGATCCAGGAAACACAGTATATCCAGGGTTTAATTCACATCTCACCTGGCTAAGATGGCTAAGAGCTGCAATCTATGAGGATCACGACTTTCCAGGTAGTAGACCTTGGTGGGGAAGGCCCTCCTAAAATAAACGTTTGACAACTCAGGTGGAAGTTAACAGGATGGATTTATTCTTTGGAGCTTTCCCTCAAATCAGGTTTTTTTATTTCAGGAAATCCTTTCTCTTCTTCCTTGGTGAAGAACTATAAGTACTGTACTTCTAAAACCACTGATTAGCTTTGTAAACGTCTGTTCATATTACTTGCTGTCCACATTGCTGCAAATCAACAATAAAGCTAATTTAAACATCTATTTTTCAAACAATCATTTGTTGTTTGTACAGGTAACCCTAATAAAGTCCCACCTCGGTGAACTCCACACACTTGAGACTGCAGAGAGGTTCTATGCAGAGCTGCTACAACTTCCGGACTACACGCTGCGAGTCCAAGCCATGCTGCAGGTGTGTACCTTTCAAATAACTGTAACACACAGTTTTAATTTAGAAAATCATTAGAAAATGCTTACTTTTTGTCTTTGAAAAAACTACAATTTCTGAAATCGGATATCTGGTTCACACTAATAACAAAACAACCAACTCTCCACTCAGTATGCACTGTTTGTAGTTGTAATTTTCCTTGAGACAATGAACCATATTGTCCATGTTTATTCCTGAAATTATTTCCTTCCGAGATTATCGGACAATATTATGGAAGGGAAACCAAGCTAGCTTTGCTGACTCTTCTTATCTAATTTACATTTTTGACGAGTGTGTGTGTAAATAACTTTCTTCAATGTCAATGGTATACCATGTTACAGAGAGAGGAATGTCCTGCTGCAGTAGCTGAGCTGACTCCTCAGTTAGAAGCGGTTGTGTCTACCTGCGATGCTGTAATCAACTGTGGCAAGCTGGGAGAGTTTCTGGCTCTTCTGCTTCAACTTGGCAACTATTTGAATGCTGTAAGCTATAATTTATTTTTGTAAAAAAATACAACCGACTTCAAACGCTCAAAAAAGAATGAAATAATTTCAATAAAGTAAACTTTTGTATTAGGCAAGCTCACGTATTTTAAGTCGGCGCGGCTCTATGATGATTTTTGATACAAAATTGAAAGAGGGTGTAATATTGCAGGTGACTATCTATAACTGAAGGTGTTAATCTGCATGTTTTTTTCATAGTTATGCGTTAAGTGTTATTTTATTACCGTAATCAGAGATCGGCATTATTGTGGTATTAACGAGTATCTTTAAAAAAATTATAACGCATTTAAATGTTTCTAACATGGAAAAGTAACGTTTTAATACTAAACTAGCTTCTTTTTTCCCTGTCATAATATCAAACTAAATTATTTTCCTATTCATATAGAACATTTGTGTGTGTTATTTTCATAATGCATTTATTCTGAAGTAAACATAAAATACAAGAAAATATTTCCTTTAATATATAAACAAAACAGTTCAGTATGTTTTTTTATATATTTATGTTATCCAGCTACAATTTATTGATTTTCAAAATACACACACAATATTTTATTTCAATCATATTTGCAGTTTGAGCCGCGCCGACTTGAAATACGTGAGCTTGCCTCATACAAAAGTTTACTTTATTGAAATTATTTCATTCTTTTTAGAGCGTTTGAAGTCGGTTGTATTTTTTTACAAAAATAAATTATTTCATGATTTTTAGTGACTATATTTTTTTATATATTAATTACTTGAGGATTTTTGATAAGCAAAACTGTTTGACACAATCAAAAGTTCCACAGAGCAATCATTATTTTAAAACTGCTTGAGTCACCTGTTCATGTTACATAATCAATGGGTATGAAAATAAACATCTTTAGATATTCCTTAAGAAAGAAAGAGTTTTCCATTACATTAGGCCTAATGAAAAACTAATTGTCTTTTCTAGATACATTGAAATGTCAGACATCATTGTTTCCTGCAATCGGTGTACTTCTACATTATAAAAAGAAATACAGTACTGTAACGTCTCAAGCCTTTTGGAACAATATGAAAGTTATTCCTCAGCTACCAGCGACAAAAAAATCTCTCAAAAGTGGAAAATTGGTCGTTAAAACCATAGTACCTTTCGTATAGTACCTTTGGAAAATATTATATGAAAGATTGGTTCAGCTAAAAGTGGTGTAAGTCATGTAGGGGGTTTTGTTTGCTCAAGATATAGCCTAGTCGAAATTGCAAATCATCTTCCTCTAGGACTTTCCGAAGCAGGCATAATAGTATTGACATGTTATAGTAACTGGGTAGAGAATATTAATAAACATGCCACATCTGCAAAGGAAATATGTATATGAAAGATTGGTTCAGCTAAAAGTGGTGCAAGCCATGTAGGTGGTTTTGTTTAATCAAGATATAATAGCCTAGTCGAAATTGTAAATCATCTTCCTCTAGGACTTTCCGAAGCAGGCATAATAGTATTGACATGATATAGTAACTGGGTAGAGAATATCAATAAACATTCCACATCTGCAAATGCATATTTAGTAATTAAAATATTTAACACTTTTAACAATTGACGATTATGCACTCTCACACTTCTTAGGTCGTGTAAGGAATAATTGCATTTGATTTATATTTAGACCTGTTTTACAAATGCTTTGGTTTTCACAATACACCTTTATTCCTCAATATTATACAGCTATTCATTGAAACATATATGTTTTTGTAAGTCAGAATATTCAATACTAAAAACAGAATTACTGTATACACAAATCAGGTCAAACGTTGAAATACATTTTTTATAGTAACCAAAACAAAATGCATTTTTTTCAATGTAATTCATTAGGCTCCATGGCAAGAAATAGTTTATTGATCAATATGAAGCAACTGTTTCATGAAGAATTGTCTGTAGCTTCATTTAAATGGTCTCAACTAACAGGTGTAGGAATTTTATTATTATTTATTGCCTTCTCTGCACAAATGTAAACAATCTGCACAAATATAAACAAAATAAATGTTGAATATTTAAGTTTTCAGAATTTTTCACCGAAACAAATATTATACTTAAACATAATATATAAGGTACCAAATAGAAACTCTCCTGGTTATTTTGGTGGTGGAACCACACTGATCGGTAAAAGAATCACAGAGAAATTGGTGAACATACATAGAAAAAAAAAAAACATCGCCACAAACAAATTGAGAACCTCCTCCTTTTGTTGGTAGTGGGGAAGTCGGTTAAAAATGAGAAGAGGATTTATATTTTCAGTTTTAAAATTTGTATTTGATGAGGAAATACACTGTGTTTAGTGTACCGGTAGTATGTTCAGGTAGTATGTGTACCTCGATGCTCAACAAAGGGCTTGTTAGAAGAAAGTAACTCAGTTAAAACTACCTAATAGTAATGTTCATAGCCTGTTCAGTTATGTTTTTCAGTTTCTATTCCATCAGTTTGCGGCTTTTCAAGAAGCCTTCATACAAGCCTAGACTGTTCATTCATCTTGATATATTAAATTTCTTCCCCTTAAAAGTCTCAATGTTGAGGTCCTATTGCACAGCGGATTTGGTCCATTAATTTGTAAAAGTGGTTTGGTGTTTGGAAGTAGATAAAACGTTGGCACAATCGGAATAGGTTAAGGATGGGTTGGGGCCTCCCGCATTGACAAAAATGTTTAAGAATCACCTTTAACTTTTTAGATTGATCAATGCAACAATCTGTACAGTTTTCTTAGTTGCCTTTGTTTTTAAGGGGAGCTACGCTGGGAATGCTGCTGGCTTCAAGCTGAACACTTTGCCCAAACTGCTAGAAACCCGAGCAAACAAGCCAAGGCTGACGTTCCTTCACTTTGCTGTTGACATTACCCAGAAGAACCAAGGAGACATGCTTTCCTTCACGGAGGACTTAGGAGGTCTTAGAGCAGTTGCCAAGTATGTCAGTTACTACACAAGTAACTAGTTGTACACTGTAGTTTCAAGTTTGTCTCCTATTTTCTTCCTCAAAATTATCTAAAATTGGAATTCCGAGTCATATCTATTCAACCTTAACTGCCTACTCAGGTGTTCAACCATACCACGTAGAAATGGCACAGAATTCATTGATACTCTAGGGAGGGTCATATAACTCAAGAAAACCAGATGGAAAAAGATAATCAAGACTACTGTATACTAATTAAATTAAATTTCAAGAACAGATAACATCAAATTATCCTGTTTGATATAAGATATGTTTATTTAATTATTGGAAATTTGTAAACCAGTTTTGAATAGGGTTGTTAATGTATTTTATACATTCTATACCACTTCTATACTGCTTTCAGGAATCCATTGTCCTCTTTAGAAGAGGAAGTGAAAACATTAGCGGCTTCAGTAAGGAAACTAGAAAAACAATTGAAAGGTGCTCAATCCAAAGAAGTTTTGCTGAAGTTCAAAGGTTAGTTTTAGCTACAACAAATGTTGATGCTCAGTTAAATGTTGTAAAAGATAAAGTAGTAAAATATGTCATTGTGTGGAGGAGTCTGAGATAATGTTAAATTTAAAATTGTTCAGAGACTGACTTTTGCAGACAATCAAATTATTTTTTGTCATACTGAGCAAAAACAGCCGTTTTAGCGAATTTCCCATATAGGGAATATTAGCGAATTTCCCATATAGGGAATAAGCTATTACCGTAGTACTCATGGTAAGACCTGGACCCGGGACCGATTTTTTTTTTCGTTTTGAGGTCCCTAGAGGCCAAAAACACCATCCGTTCAAATATATATATATATATATATATATATTTATATATACAATTGTTTAGATAAAGGGCTACTATTATAAATAATGAAGAAAGCATATTAACTCAGTACCCTGAAATTATTTTTATTTTTAAAACTCTACATGTTTCGACCTTTGAAAGGTTATTTATTTAACATTATTTAAGAAATGTTTACCTGATGAAAGGTCGAAACATGTAGAGTTTTAAAAATAAAAATAATTTCAGGGTACTGAGTTAATATGCTTTCTTCAATATTTATATATATATATATATGTGTCGGTTAGCGCGATAACTCGAGCAAAAATGATCCGATTTTGATGAAATTTGGTACAAACGTGTAAACCTACGTTTATTCGAACGAGTTTGCGAACCAGCATGATCGGACAATGGGAACGGGGGTTTATGGGGGCTTTTATGGTGTAAAAATGGGTTTTTCCCATTTTTGACCGAAAAAACATAAAATTTTGCAATTTCTTTCTAAACTATTTTGTAGAGCTTAAAAAAACAAATCATTTAGTATATTGAAGTGTTAGAATGTGCCTAATAGTTACGGAGAAAATTCCAAAAAATTGTAAATTTAAAATTTCCATGTTATTCTTATGGAGAATAAGTAAACTGTTGTAGTTTGCTTTTTTATTAACATATTTTGCCCAAATTTGGAAAATGTTTTTATTACTTACCAACTATTAACATTTTACATAAATAACACTTTTACCCTCCCTGTTGCAGCAAACCTAAGTATGTTTTAAACTGATTCTTTTTAAATAGGGAATAAATGTGATATTTTTAAGGAGACATTTTAGTGTAAATCCATTCAGGGAAATGGAAATTCGCTTAGTCTGCAGGTTTGCTGCGGCGGGGGTATTTAATGTATGTGTTGCGGGTCTAAAGTAGCATTTTAAAATGTTTTTATTAGCTCACTTTCTTGTCCGGTACAAATTTTGCAATCAACCTAATATTTGGCGCCTACCCTGCCTATTCGGTAAATCGGCCCTGAATCGCTTACTAAACAGCTGCTAATTTGCATTAGCAGAATTGAAAACAAGCTGGAAGTTGTTTTGAGAGGTTATATTTACATAAATTTTATTTTGTTTTCTAGCTTAGTTTGTTAATTAATTATGCAATATGACCAAAAATATAGTTCACCATACGGGTAAAAAGTGTCACATTAGGCCCCAGTGATGAAATATACTACAAACCAAATTTCTTTTCTTAACTAGACTTGAAATGATTTTTATGAACAAAACTAAAGGCTAATGTATTTAGTTGAGTCTGATTAAAAATATGAATCCTTTTTACTGAAAACTCTGTAAATGATTACAACTTAACATAATTTAACAAGACTCTCTTTTGCAGAGTTTCTGAAAAAATCCGTCAAAGACGTTGAGAAATTAGAAAAGCTGATGGACAAGGCCAAAGCAGCAGAGCAGCGGCTGGCAGAGCATTTTTGCGAGGATCCTAAGAAGTTCAAACTGGAAGAGTGTTTGCTGCTGTTGGCTGACTTCTTTGGAAAGATCAAGCAAGCAATTGTGGTAAGTTAAAATGTGAATTAGAATGGTTTGATAATGAATTCAGTGCGGTGATTTGATAAAACTGCAAAAGAGTGTTTTTATACATCAATTTAAGCTTGTGTCTGTGGGGTGTGGGTTGCTAGTGTGATCATGGGTGTCCACTCAAAGGTTGCAGTAACAGCACAAATCCTCTGACTTCAACTATACTGGTTAAAATTATAACCATATACGCTAACATAAGAAAAATTATACCTCTCCACCTTTTTATTTTTTATTGTTTTGCTAACATAATAGTTGAGTTAAAAGAGTTTTCTAGGTAAAAAATCAACAAGCGTACCTCTGAGAAAGCTATGTACACAAAATCTGATGTAAATCATGTTTCAATGTTTTTGGGAGACCATTCAGAGGCAGTGGGGACTGTAACAGTAGTCTCTCCCTAGTGGGTCTCTTTATGATCAACAAAAATGTTGTTTACCAAATATTTTGACTCTGTTGAAATTTCTAGTACCATGAATAAAGAACGTTTATCAATATTGTAATGGATAGAATCTCAAAAGTGTTATATATACTTTATTGAAAAAACATTCTGAATGGAGTTTAGCTTTGTCTAGTTTAGTATAAAATCCTAAAAACCTCTCATATTAAACAGATATCCTGATTAACTTATATTTTTATTTACCAAAGACAATCAAACCTAGGGTAGATTTTGTTTTTTACAATATTATTATGATAGAAAACTGTGAATGTCAACAGGACAATTGTCAGATGAAGAAACAGGAAGAGCGCACAGCAATACTTGAGGCTGAAAAGGCACTGCCAGCAAATAACAAAAAGAAAACTGGAGGTGGAAAGACAAAAATATTCCAAGAAGAAGAAAAGACAGATCTTGTGGACATTCTAATGACTGAGATTAAGTGTGGAAAGTTTCAATTAAGACGAAGTCTACCAAACGGCAGTGCTTGAATCGCATTCATTCATTTCTGAAACCTTAAGACTGAATCGGTATGAATTTAATTTTGATAAAACAACAATGTACAAATAGCTTTAATTCTGTGTTCTGTCTATCTATGTCTCTATAAATATAATATTTTTTAATTGTTGAGTTAATGATCTTGTTAAGTTGAATCGAATTAATTTTTTTAAGGCATGGTATGTAAAACTACTTAACGCTTTTGTGTGTGCGCATTGGCACATCACCAATGTAACAAATATGTGAAAAATATCATGAAAATTTAGCTTTGCGTTTAAAGAAAGTGTCAGTGTATAACTATCATGAATTCCAATAAAATTAATATGCACTTAATTATGATTTTATGTACCTTTGAAAATTACATCCGTCAAGTTAAAAATAGAGGTGTTTCATTCCCGACACAAACAAGTTAACATATGTAATCTTATGATAAATTTAAATTTGTTATTGCTGATGTAGTATTATGTATTATGTTTACCTGTCTATGTTATTTAATCATTATTTGCTGTTTACCCAAAGCTGTATTATTAAATATAAAGATGTTAACTCCCTTCAGTTGTCTTATCATCTTAGACTTAAGCGTATTACTTGTAAATTTGCTTACATTCATGTACTTTTAAGTATTAGACCCTGAACTTTGTTTGTAGAGTGTTAATATGTTAGGGTTAGTATAATCAGTTTTATTGATAGGAACTAGTTAAACAACAAATATTTAGTTTCATCATATTTACTTCTGAGCTGTCTATAATTGATAATTTCATCTTGCTTTCTTCTTTTCTTGATGCATTTTTATATCAGTATTCTATTTATCATAGGATTTTTGTGGCCAACCTGTATGTGTATATTGTAGTTATCGTTGGCAAAATGAAGACAGTCATCCACAAAATGTTAGGCTGAACTGTAAATTTTGTAAAAATATTAACTATTTAGACATTTAAGTGTTATATTCTAAATCAGCCTAATAGAGATGTAATTTTTAGAATGTTTATACCCTGTTCATAAAAAATGTTGTCTTTTAACCCTTTGAGTGCCAACGTCCGGGGAACCGGACGTTTTTAAAACGAGCCAAAAGTGCCAACGTCCGGCCGACCGGACGTTTTTAGAACGAGCCAAAAGTGCCAACGTCCGGCTGACCGGACGTTTCGTAATGATCGAACAGCTGTCATAACAACCGAATAAATACTCGGATTCTTTTAACCCATATATTAACATTGAGTCGAAAGTTGCTAGATGCGATACATCGATTTTCGTTGGTCGAAATATCGAAAATTCGATTTTTACGAAATTTTAACCTAAAAATCGCCAGATCGCGCTCGGCATTTTTAGCGCGACCTTCGGGAAAAATCATCGGCATTTTTTGAGCGTTACTTTTATTTCTCGCCTGGCACTCTAAGGGTTAAGGACTACCTAATAAATTATTTTATAAGCAATAATATTTCATTTTCCCTTTGATATGTAAATTGATATTAAAATGTAATGATATAACAGTTATAGATTTTTTTGATATATATCCAATGACTTTATTTTACATTCTTGAATTTCATGATTTTTTGTTTTTCAAAGGTAGAAATAATAATTCTGATAACCAGGAATTTCTATGATAAGACTTGAGCAATTTCAGTTATAAAATTATAAAGAAAATCCACCTAATATTGAGCAAACATATTTCCCAGCTACAAACAAACTAAAATAAATTTTGTCTATGGTATGTAGTGTGGCGTAAAAGCATTTTTTTACTATGGAGTAAAAATCAGCTGTTGTAAACAGTTGTAAATTTCAATTTTGGCAATGCATGGATGGAAATGATTTATCAATTGATTTATTAGGAGTATCTTTAGCTTATTGTTGCATTCTTGTTAATCAACATATATATATCGACATATATACTCGGTATATTGTACAGTAACACAGCTGAAACAGACAAAATGACTGAATAAATTACTAAACAGCTGCATATTTACATTATCAGGATTGAACACAAGCTGAGATGTTATCTTTACATGAAAAGTATTGGGGGAAAAGTGTGTGTTTCAACCCTCACTAAAACTTGAGCTTGGGTCAAAAAGAGTCAATTTACGCCAGAGAGCACAGAATTCGCCCTAGTAATGAAATATACTACAGGGTGTTTTTTTAAAAACTTGCATCTTTATTTATGTAAAAACCGCAATAGATAGAAATATGTAGTTTGCGGGAATTATCTATTGACGTAGGGGGGCCAATTGTTTTGAATTCAACGTTACATTCACATCCCCCCTGCCACCAACTTATTTTTTTTTTAATAGCAAGGTACCCCTTGTAACATATCAAATGAAAGAGCATGAAGAAATCGGCTCGCAAATTTGTGAGATATTTCACCCCTTTTATCTCCCTACCCTTAACTTAAAATTTTTAAATTTCGAGATATCCCTTGTGACATATCAAATGAAAGAGCACGAAAAAAGAATATGTTTAGTGAAAAACATTTTAAAATTGGCTCATAAATTTGTGAGATATTCCACCCCCCCCTGAACTTAATTTTTTTTTAATAGCAAGGCACCCCTTGTGACATATCAAATAAAAGAGCATTAAATAATAAAATGTGTGGTGAAAAAATATTTGTATTTAGCTTATAAATTTGTGAAATATTTCACCCCCTTTCTCTCCCTTCCCTTAATTTAAAATTTTGGAATTGCGAGATATCCCTTGTGACATATCAAATGAAAGAGCACGAAAAAAGAACATTTTTAATTCAACAATTTTTTAAATCGGGTTCTAAATTTGTAAGATATTTCAGGATGTGTTATTAATACTTACAGCTTTAGCCATATTGTGTTGTTAGATATTACGTAATTGCCATTATTATTGATACTGTAATTTTTCTTATACGGTTAAAACTTTAAAAAATTTTGAAGAAAAATGTAGCATTAATAACAATGTAATTGTTAATTTTGCGGATTACAAAGTTTCTTTCACCAAACTTTTTCTTTTTACATGCCCTTTCAATTGATAGGTCAAAAGGGATATCTCGCAGTTTCAAAATTTTAAGTTAAGGGTAGGGAGAGAAAGGGGTTGAAATACCTCACATATTTATGAGCCGATAAAAAATTTTTTCACAAAACATTTTCTTTTTTCATGCTCTTTCCTTTGATATGTCACAAGGGGTACCTTGCTATTTACAAAAAATAAGTTGAGGGCAGGGGGGAAAGGGGGGGGGGGAATGTGAATGCAACGTGGAATTCAAAACAATTGGGCCCCCTACATCAATAGATGATTCCCGCAAACTGCATATTTCTATCTATTGCGGTTTTTACATAAATAAAGATGCAAGTTAAAAAAAAAACACCCTGTATATGTTGTCTTTAATCGTACATCTTTACAATCCTAATTTATAGTTGTGATGAAAATGAAATGAAATAATCTACCCATTACCCTCACAGCTCCTGAACTAAACAATTGATACTTCTAAGAAATAAAAATGCACTTTAATACTTTGATACTTTAATTAAAATTGGGACCGTACGAAAGTAGGTAGTACGAATGGAGATGAGTGTAGGATGAGTGGTGTGATATTGTAGTCTTTTGTGACTAAGGCCGACATGTTCCTAAGACAGGACTGTTAATCAATAGCCCCAAACGCCACGAAAAAGGTGTAGGTACTTTGTTCATAAAGTAAAAATCCAAGATACATATTTCTAAAAGAAAGAAAATAGAAAATTACATTCATTATTACACACACAAATAAGCTGTGTAGTTTCAAATAGAAGTAGTAAAAACCATAGTAGCCAAGCACACAACCCTTTAGAAGTTTATGGTTTTCCAAAACTGCTTGACCTAGAAATATTTTAATCTTTAATACATAATAAACAAAAACAAAAATTTTGAGACGGATGTTTTAAATAAAAATGTTCTATTGATAAACCATACATAAAAAATAAAAATCTCCTCCATATGAATAACATGGGAACTTGAAAAGTCCAGTGGTCAGAGTCCTGAGGTCTAAATCAAAATTTTGGCTCCGTCACAACCTTCTACACAAAATGACCTTCAAATCAAAAAAGAATCATCAAAATCCGTCAAGCGGTTGTCTTGCAATTTACGTTAACTAAATGACCAATATTTTTATAGAATAATGACATAATGGCAACTAAGGGACCCTACAATTTATAGTGGAATCTAACCACATTTTTATCTTGTAATTTACGAATTGGTCTAATTATCATGATAGTACTGCTGATAGTCGTATTAAAAACATGCATGAGAAACATTTCTTAAGCAAGTTGTCCTTTTTATCGATTTTTATTTTTTTTTACTCAAGTCGGATTTACAAAGTTTTTATTGACTCTACTAACAAACTACACTTATTTAAATGGAATATTTAATGCAGATTCTATAAAAAATTAGATTTCAACACACAATTTCAAGAAATTTTGAAAAATCTAAAAATGGCTGGTTCTAGGAGGAGGAGTGAGATATAACTCTCCGAATTGCGTATTTTTTATATCGCAACTTACCTACATAAAAAAGCCTTAGCTTTAGCATTGACGAAGGCTACCAAACACCCTGTATAGTTAAAAATGTTAACATAGTACTTTGGTTTCTGGGGACATTCAAATGAAAAAAGTAAATTGGTCCCAAGTCTAGTCTTACCACAGGTATTCACCAACGGTAATGATAGCTTCTTCCCTATAGAGGGAATTTGCTAAAAGAACAACATATATTTGACGGAACGTTTTATTTGTAATTCTTCCAAAGATGTAATAATGATAACCTTTTGGCTTATCCCTTATGATGAACACTGTACCGATTTTACGTACAGTGACCGTTGGGTCTAAACTTTTTGTTATCGCACAGTCGTTGTTTACCCAGTCAGCTGATTACTTGCGGACTCGCCATTGTTGAACAGCTGATTACAAACAGTTGCTCCGTCGACAGCACCTTACCTGTGTCTGTCGGTTACTGGCCTTATCTTGTGTGGTCAGTTGTTAGTCTGTGTTCGTGCGTTGGTTCGTCTGTTAGTATTTTTGTGCCTCGGGGAAACATTTGATAGTATTCGAGTCTACAAGAGAGGGATATGTGCACAGGTAGATATATTTTTGGAATTAAAAGATTGAAAACTACTTAAGTTCTTAAAATATAGAAACGTAGCTATCTATAAGTTGATCTAAGGTGCAAATTAGAGAGAGATTTCGATCTTACTACCGCAGGTTGCAAAATAACCCATAGTCTTAGAAAATGAACTAAATTCCTGGTTCAAGAAAAACATATCTCTCATATTCCTGTATCACATGATTAGACAGTTGTTTTAAGAGTTTATTCTACACAGAAACATATTCATTAGCCTATTTGTATGTTAGGCCTTCTTATCAAAACAATACTATAAAATATGACTAACTTTGTTGACTAAATATGTTGGTAGCCGTTGATAAATACACTGTAGAACAATGATCTAAAGTCTAAACTACGAATTTATTACCAAAGCAGATTTAGCTCTCTACACTTCTAAGTTTGATAATATTGCTCAATTAACTATTCTGTAAAGGTACCCTACAGTTCGATCACAGTAGATGTGCCAGTTTTATTTCTGCAATGTTTTAGACATCTGCAATTTATATTTGTATTAGTTTTGTTAATTTCGTTATTAAAGAAATTATAAGTGCAAGGGAAAAAATGTCACTAAACCGTAGCCTACTCTTATTTTAAAGCTGTTATTTAAACGTTAACTTATAGGCCTAACTGGAGTGAAGCAGGTTAATTGACATATTTATTACTCACACACAGCCTATTTACTACAACAAGTAATGCATTGGCTAATAATATACCCGAGTAGTTACATAACATGATTATATATGTATCTCTTTATTTACGCTTTAAAGCAGATAGTTCCTAAGCAATGTTGCCAATATATCGTGTTCCATTCGATTTTTAATTAGAAAAAACTGTCAGAATTGGAAGAAATTCAGAGACGGTGAAGAATCTGTAGGTGAATGTACAGTAGAAATTGAACATTGCTATTGGCAATGGTTTTTAGCTACGCTCAGTGTTTTTTGTTTTGTTCAGCGTCTACGCCAGCAGAATTTTTAGAGGAGGAACAAGAAACGTATTTTAGGCCTACGGGAAAGTGGTCAAAATACGTTGCATTTTTTGTAAAAATAAAGTACGTGTCACTTAATAATTTTTGCAGTTAACTATTTGATTCCATCCCCCTTAGTTTGGTTAGTAGCTTTGACTATTAATACAACAACTTCTGTATCCAATAGTCAATGATAGTAGTGAATAGATTTTAAGTGCACAGGCCTACCAACTAAGCTTTTATTCATAATCAACCGTTATGGAATAGATTTTGTCCATAAATTTCGGATGTTATCTATTTCTGTAAATGTCCATTGAGCAAGAGCTACCAGATAAACT